GTGCAAATGCCACAGTGGAACCCATTACTGTGGAGACGGATATATGCTGATAAAGAGCAAATTAACTTACTAAAAGAAAACTAACAGAAAACAATGATTTTCATGTGTTCCAATAAAGAGAACTGCCTGGAAGTCCTTCCTATCTCCAAACCTGGCAATTTCAGTAGCACTGAGAGGCTGCAGCCCAAGCTCTCATGTCAGCTGGGGGCATTCTCCCTGAGGGTCCAGCTCTTGACTCTGTAACACCTGACTGCCCTGACCAGTCTGTTTTTTTCTTTCTTCCTCCCGTCCTTTTTCTAATTCTATTTATTTGTGTGTGTGTGTGTGTGTGTGTGTGTGTGTGTGTGTGTGTGTGTGTGCGCGCGCGCTCATATGCATGGTTGTTTGTGTACACGTGTGCATGTATGTGGAGGCTACAGGTCAATGTCTGGTGTCCTCTTCAATCGCTTTCCACAGGATCTTTCCCTGAACCCTGAGCTCACCAATTCAGCCAGACTGACTGACTAGAGAGCCCCTGGGTTCTTCCTGTCTGTGCTTCCAGGATTATAGACACATTCAGTCATGCCCAGCTTTTTTGGAGGGGTGCTGGGGATTCAAACTCAGGTCCTCATGCTTGCCGAGCACCATCTCTCCAGTCCCAGCCCCCTTTTATTATTTTTTCTAGTTTCCTCTTTACCCACTAGGCAGATTTTGACACGTCTTCCTACCCAGTCATAGGTCTTTCAATATTTGAGACAATTCTGAAGTGCCAGCTTCCTTTATAGGCCCTGCTGTGCCACTCTAAGAATGAAAATACTGGCAGTCCAGAATTTGGATACATTTTCTGCAGGTCTGATTGCTGAGTAGTTGAAATTCAAGCATGTATTCAGTTATATGAAGATAAAGAAAGGACGGGCCTGAGAAATCACCAACAAGATCAAGTCCATGGAATGTGCAGTGAAAGCCCTCACCACCATGCTGGGCATCTGCTTCCTCTGCAGACATCCTCCAGGCCCACCAAGAAGGCACCTGCTCTACAAGTCCCTCCATGCTGTGACTCTAGCTTTCGGTGCTTGACAACAGCCACCACAGTCTTCCTTGCTAAGAGAAGCAGAGTATGTAGTAATGGTCACGGTATTTCTAGCTGACAGATTTTCACTTCTTGAACTCTCTCGTAGTTAAAGCAACATAAAAGAAATTCTGAGATTTGTTTTTCTGCTGATAAAAACATATACAAAGACAATTTTGCCTTTATCACCTTCACCTATGATGTGAAGATGTGATGTCTAGAGCCACATGATGGCTGTAAGAGGAAGCCTAGGTATCACAGAGATGCTGACACAGAGATGCTGACTGAACCCTGGGACCAGCGACTTGAGACATTGCTCAGTGAGATGGCAAGTACCTTTGTGTTGGAGTCACTAGCAATCAGCAGCATAACCATGACTTTTACTTATTTATTTTTTAAGATTTTTAATTTTTGATTATGTGCGTGTGGGGGGGGAAGGGTATCTATACGTGTGTGCAAGTGCCCATAGAGGCTAGAGGCCAGAGGCCAGAGGCACAGGATCTCCCTTAAGTGGGAGTAACAGGTGGTTGTGAGCCACCATATAGGTGCTGGAACCAAAGCTGGGTCTTCTTCAAGAGCAGTAAGTGCTCTTAACCACTGAGACATTTCTCTAGCCCCATAGAATTTTATTTTCTACCTTCAAATGTTTTGATATCTTAGGGCTTTGGTGGCCCTGGAAGACTATCCCTCTTAGTGCTAACCAATTCCTAGAGGTAGTATAGAATGCAGCTGGAGCATGCTTTCCATATGCAAAACAACTAATCCTGAGCCCTGCTCTACCTTCCAGGCACTCTTCTGGCCACTATCATTTACTGTAGCCACGCCCTTGAGAGGCAGGTACCAATGAACTAGGGGCAGCCCAGTACCTCACAGCTTGCTGAAACTACTCAAGCCAGGCCACCTGAGCCTTCTACCCTGCCTTACTCCTTCCTTCTACAGAAAACATAATAAAGCCTCTTGTTTATATCCTACCCCTACTTCCTGAATGGCCCTATCCCACTGTGGGCCTGGGATCCCTGCAGTGATCCCTCTTCTGGGGGCTGAGTTGTAGGCCATCTTTGCCACCCAGTTGTCTTCTAATCTGTTGTTAGGTCAAGCTTCAAATGTTCTATCAACACACTGTTCTTCAGACCACTCAGGGAACCAATGCCTCCTAAGTGGACAGAAACTGCAAGACTCCAAACCCAGTGAAAACTCCATAAATCTAAGTAACTCTGCTGTGTCCCAGAAAATTATGTTGGTACCAGTTCACCTGTCACACCAACAGTTAGTTTCAAGCTCTGGTGGTAACATTCAGATTGGACTCTTTTTGTTTTGTTTCTTGAAAAAGAGTTTCATGTATCCCAGCTCCAAACTTGCTAATGTAGCAGAGGTTGGCCTTGAATTCGTGATCTTCCTGCCTCATTTCCAGAGCGCGGTGATTACAGGTATATATCACCATGGCTAATTCTCAAATGGGACTCTTTTTTAAAAAAAAATTATTTTTATTTTATGTGTATGAGTGTATTACCCACATGTGTGTTAACTGCACTTGTGTCATGTAATGCCCATAGAAGTCAGAAGGTGGCATTGGATCCTCTGGAACTGGAGTTACAGAGGGTTGTTAGCCACCATGCAGGTGCTAGGAATTGAACCTGGGTCCTCTGCAAGCTCAGTCAGTGCTCTTAACCACTGAGCCATCATCTCTCCAGCTCTCAAATGGGACTCTTGATAGGAGAACATACATAACATGTGGAATCGGTTATTTTAGAACAAAAGAAAAGATGTGGGTCAAAGCTGAGCTGAGCTCCAGGCCCCCACCTGAAACAGCAGCTAGAGCATCCCATATACAACCCATGGTAAAGGGAGCTCATACCCAAAGAAGATTGCAAGCTCTTCCTTAGGAATGTCCAGGGTCCCCAGCTGGAAACTCCTGACATGTGCATAATTATTTCTATAGACATTTTCCAAAACTGAGCTAGTTTTATTTATGCCACACACAAGAGATTCCTACTGAAAATAGAGTTTAAACATTCCCTAATCTGAAAACCCTAAACCCTGAATGTCCGAGTACTGACACAGTGCCGCCACTGAAAATTCCACACCTGGCCTCGTGTGATGGCTTGCAGTGAAAGCACAGATTCGCTGAACTATTAAACAACATGATCAGGCTGTGTGGACTAGATGATATGAAACAAATGAATTTCATGTTTGGACTTATATCTTAGCCCCAAGACTTATATCCTCATTATGGATTCATAAATATCCCAAAATCCAAAACACTTCTGATTCTGCATTTTGGACAAAGGATATTTAACCTGTATTAAGAAAATACCAGGGCTGAAGAGAAGAAAAGACAAGGGTTAGAGCAAGTAGAACAGGTGTTTTCACTTGCACAGCAGATGAGAGAAAGCTTGGGCACACTCAACAACATGACACACAGTGTGACACTCAATAGCCAAGGCTAACATAAGCAGGGGGTCAGGGAGACCCTGGCAGACAGAAGTCAGCACTAACTCCTGGTCAAAAAATACTCTAACAGATATCAAACATGCAGATGTAATAAACATCTGTCTTAGTTACTATTCCCACTGGAACAAATAAAATACGCTGAAAAAAGTAACATAAGGGAGAAAGGGTTCATTCTGGCTCACAGTTCAAGATTACAGTCCATCATGATGGGAGAGTCAAGAGAGAAAGAAGTTGAAAGCAGCTGGTCACATCACATCCACAATCAGGAAAAGAGAGTAATACATGCATGCTGCTGCTTAGCTCCCTTTCTCTACTTACAGTCTAGGATCCTAGGATCCCAGCCAGGGAATGGCCACCCACAGTGGAAAGGTCTTCCCGCCTCAATCAATGCAATCAAGATAATCCCCCAATGGAATCCCCAGAGGCCCATCTATCAGGTAATTATAGATGCTGTCAAGCTGACAATTGACACTGACCATCACACCATTGTGATTGTAAACCACCCATAATAAAACCAAATGATCTCTGAGAAAGTAGTTCTGTCAGTAAAGTGCTTGCTTTGCAAACACAAAGACGTGAGTTTGATCCCCAGAACCTGTGTTTTAAAAAAGCCAGGTGTGGTGGTACATATTTGTAAATCCCAGTGCTGGGGAGACAGAGAGAGGCAGATGCCTGGGGCTTTGTGTCTAGTCAGCCTACAGTACTTGGTAAATTTCAGACCAGTGAGAGACCCCCATCTTAAAAAAAAAAAAGATGATGCCCAAGGAAAGGACACCTGAGGTTGTCCTCTGGCCTCTACATACATGCATACACATGTAACTCCAGTCCCAGTGTCAAACACATACACACAATGCACATATACACACAAACCAAGTAAATGCTTAAGAATATCCTTTGCTCTTCGTGACACTGAAGGAGGTAAGGGTGAGGACGGATGACTAGAAAGACTGTTTACATCTCTCACTGCAGAGTAGGAGCACATTAAACGATGCCTGCTATGACTGATGGCAGTTATAAAGAAGGGCATTGCAACAGCTTTACTTGCTCTCTTTCTTATTTCAGTACAGTGGAAACAATATTCAAGGGCCTTTTTAGGTCCTTTGGAACCCCAGAACCCATGGTATGTTTTCTGTGAAGCTATAGATAGTATTAAGGCAAATATAATTTATGAATGGAGATGAATCAGGGGAAGTTGTCCATCGAGGGTAATGGGGCTCTCTCAGAGAAGGGATCTTGAGTGTAGCCCAGCCATCCTGCTGGTTGACTGCCCTGGAAGGTCAAGTTCAGAGTCCTCACCTTGGCTGGCAAGGGTTGTGATGTTTCAGAGTTAAAGAGCAACAATTTCATCACAGCAGAATCTAGCACCAAGGCATGCCTGCTTCACCTGCAGGTACATGAGTGGTTTCATAAATAGCCACAGCCAATACTGTCCAGGAACTAGGAAGGGTCCTGCCCCAGGATGCAGGCTCTAAGCTGCCTGGACTTGGTGGAGGGCACTTACTGAGCGCTTGTCCGCCTCTGCTCCTTGCTGGCCCTGCAGACACGCAGTGAGCTTCTTGTGTGTGCTGTGGGAAACCTGTTTCACCAGCTCCAGGCGCTTCTCCACCTGCAGACGGTGGGAGACCCAGTGAAACAAAAGTCAGGACTGGACAAATGGTGACCCATCTCCACAGAGTCAAGTACAGAATTCTAAGCAGGAAATGTCCCATGTTGGACAGCTTGAAGGGGATGACTACAGCCCCAGGGCTCCCCTGGTACCTTTCAAACCTTTCCCAAAAAATCATACCTAAATCAGTATTTGTAGGGGACTGGCTCCAGGATACAATCAAATACCAAACCACACACATGCTTAAGTAAATGGTATAGTATTTTCATATAACCCACATGAATCCTCCAGTATACTTGAAATGGCCTCTGGGTTATTCACTGTACCTCACACAAAGTAAACACTTGTAAGCAGTTGTAGCACTGTATTGTTTAGGGAATGACACATGCTCAGTACAGAAGCATTTTTTCCCAACATTTTTAACATGTTTGGTTGGAAGCACAGACATAGGCTTACGTATCCAGGGAGCCAAAATGGCACTGTCAGAAATAACAGAGCCCTCCCTCCCCACAGTTTGTATGGGGGCAGCAGAAGTACAGAAACCCTACAGGGAATGGCTTCATTCCAGAGGAAAATATCTTTGGGGTGCATCAGCCAAAGTCAGGGAGAACCTACCTGGAGAAGGTCTTCACTAAGAACTTCAGTCTTTTCTGCCCTAGAGAGAAAATGAAGAGGATTAGCAAAAACCTAAAACATATTAGAACATACATACACATATACATACATAAGAATGCAGTCTTGGCATGTCCTACTCTTCTCTCAGCAACAGCAGAGAGGCAGACATTAGTCTTGCCTACTAACAGGAGACAATAAAGGCAATTCTAGAATTTTCTAGGAACACTAAATAGCCAGCATACCAGCAAGCACAGTATTCAAGGTGCTCTTAGGCTTTCAGTCAGACTGGGACCTGCATGGAGGACAGCCGCAGACCTCTCTATATATAATTTTTTAAGTAACAGAATGAAGCCGGTAACCACACCATTGCACTCAGGCCTGCCCCATGACAGCAAGCTAAAGTATTGGGAACTTGAGGGGCTCAAGGAACAGCAAACCCAGAGACAGCATTGAGTCCTGGCCATGAATGCAAAGACCTCTACCAGGTCTGGCTACCAAGTGTTAGGTCCCTAGTTACAGGTGACATGATTGTCTATGTAAAATATGACAAGAAATCCACACACCCCCAAATCGGCAAGATTGCAAAAAGTAAGATAAACACACAAACACAAACCTATTAAACACAAACCTATTAACAACCTGCAAGCTGGATGTTTATGAAAGACCAGAGAACATCTAATTAAGAAGAAAGATACAGCATGTCTATGAACTAGAAAACTCAGCCTTGGGAAGATGCCAGCTCTGTCCCTCCACCATAGATGGATACAGTCCCAGAGTCAGAGCAGGAGCTATGAGGATACAAATTAACCTTAACACTGACATGAAATTGCAAAGGAAGGAGAATAACTCAAATCAACCCTAGAAAGAAAAATATTGTGGAGAGCCACAGCCTCCGCCGCCATTACAAGATGGCGCCGGTATCCGGACCTTCTTAACAGTAAACATCCTGCTGCGCCCATAAGGGGCGTGCACAAGAGCCTGCTCTCCCTCGCCTCCTCCCGTGGCGTGATCTTCAGCAACCAATCCGCTTCTTATACGTCATAGATGGGACCTTTAGACTATATAAGCAACCGCTCTCCCGCTTCTCGGCGTCTTCGGTCTTTAAGCTTCTAAGAGTGTAAGATGCGCATACAATAAACTGCTGCAGAAGGATCCTGACTTGTCCTCCCGCGTCGTTCTTGCTGGCGAGACGGAAAGCGGTCGGGGACAAAATATAAGTCATCGCACTCATATGATCCAATTTTAATAAAATAATCAAGAGCAGGGCACTGGCAGAAGGGTAGAGTACATCATCCCATCATCCAGGAATAGATTCAACTCAGGACCGAATTATCTTCACAAAGGAACAAAGGCTATTCTAGGCAGAAGCAAGAACCTAGAAAATGGTCATGGCACACAATATGCACTGGTGTGAGTCCCAGTCCAGCCTCCACATCAGCTATAAAAAGTAATCATAAATAGACCCCAGACTTCACCAAAAGCGTACACTTAGGAGATTTTTAAAGAAAGCATGGGAGGAAATATCTGTGACTTTGATTAAAGTCATGGGTTCTTAGAGAGAACATCAAAAACACTCTGCATAAAAAGAAAAAGAACTGACACATCAAACTTCAAAATGAAAAAAATTTGTTTGATCAAAAATCCTGTTAAAAGTTGAAAACCCACAGAGAGAAAATATTTGCACATCATATGATAAAAGAATTACATATAAATCAAGTACAGAATAGTCAAACTAATAAGAAGAAACTTTTATTAAAATAAACACAAAGGAAATATTTTAAAAAGAAAATTAAAATAGAAACAAAGGTCTGGGGCTGTAGCTCAGTAGTTATACTACTTGCCTAGTGAGCACAGGCCCTGGGTTCCACCACAAGAACAGAAAAACAAAGAGAAAAAACCCTGAACAACTATAATCAAGAAAGATACAGATCTCACACACACACACACACACACACACACACACACACACACACCATATCCATATCAATTTCAAAAGCATATGAAGTCGGAAAGCTCACAAATTTCTGGAGACCAGGCGTGACAGAATAGTACAGCCCAGTGAAGAGTAGTTGGCTGTTTCTTATAAACTTGAACATACACTTTGCCATGTGACCTAACAATGCTGCTCCAGAGAAATGAACCCTTCCACACCCTCTGATACACACACACCCCACCCCCACAAAATCTGGAAACAATCTAAATATCCTCTAGCAGGTAAACAGTTGCATTCTAGAACATCTATGCTAGAGAATACTACCCAGCCATAGGGATGGAATGTTAGCACATATCACCACCCAGCTCAAGGTCAAAGCCATGTGCTCGATGTACAAAAGCCAGTCACCATGGGTTATATACTTAATGATTCCACCTACAGAGTATTCTAGAAAAACTCAACTATAAGACCAGAAACCAGTGCCTTGAAGGGCAGCTCCGATAACTGGGCCGCAGTCAAGTCTGCCTATGATGGGATTGTAAAATTGCTGTGTATTTTGTTCACAGTGGTGACTACACAGATCTGTGTTAAGACTCATATAAGTCTACCAAGGTAGTGAGTGTATTTTGTGTGAGTAAAACACAAACCTCTTTAAACATAGAACTGTGATGCCACACAATAATATCCCAGAACTCTAGGAGGGAAAGTGAGTGGGCTATGTGCTCTGAACCCTGGTGCTATCCTTCAGAGAAGCTAAGATAATCACTTTGATATTTTTAGTTGAAGACATGATGAACATTCAAGTGTATCACTGATAGGGAAGAAACATGAAGATACATCTGTCTGTCTATGTATCTATGTTTCTATCTATGTATCTATGTATGTATGTATGTATGTATGTATGTATGTATATCTATCTATCTATCTATCTATCTATCTATCTATCTATCTATCTATCTATCTATCTATCTATCTCAAACCATCAGAGGCTAATTATCACCAAACAAAGGGAAATGATGGTAGCAGGTGAAGCAATGTAAAACAACACAGCACAAAGTAAAATATTACACATAAGTTCAAATATATCACAAAACACAGCAATATTCCAGTTAAAAATCCAAAGACATAGAGCCTAGATATCAAAACTCCAGCTCAATACCAATCACAAAGCTCCACCTAAAACAAAAAGAAGCTTGAAGAAAAAAAAAAAAAGCTATTTTGAATATAGTAGCCTTGGAAGAAAAATAGCAAAGCAGCCCTCCCTCCCCTTTAGTTGTTTATCTGCAGTGCTGGGGATGGAACTCATGTCTCTGAGCTGTACCTCCAGCCTCTCATGCTATTTTTAATTAATATAACAGATTTTGAAAGGAGAGACTGCTGCAATATAATTATTTTAAAAGTTTAACTTGTCATTCAACTCTAAGAATCACAAAATAAAAGCTGACAGGACCTTGGGGAAGGGCTGAACATGCTAGGGTGACAGATGGCTTTTCTCCTTGTAGTGAGGGGCAGTAAAGATACAGAGGGCTTGAAACCATTAGAACAACAGGATTTATTTGATAGGCGTACATGAACTCTCAGTCTAGTGGTAGAGTCCATGAAAGCTGCCTGTGAGCACAAGACTGCAGACACACGGATGACACACTGTGAAGCACTTCTGAGCACAGGTGAAAGGATGGCAGTGCTCTCACCACGACACACTTCACACTGCAACAAAGAGCAAGGTGAAATGTGAAGGAAAATAGCTTGCAACTGGGGCTATAGCTCAGTTGGTGGAGTGCTTGCCTAGCAGGCAGGAAGCTTTCGGTTTAATTCCTACCAGGTATGGCGGCGCACACCTGTCATCCCAGCACTTAGGAAGTAGAAGCTGGAAGTTTGAGGCCAGCCTGGGATACACTGGACCCTGTCTCAATACCCCACAACATTTTGAAAATTTAGAAACACTTCTGTTATATATGTTTAAAATTTTCTATTGGGAATTCAAAATATTTAGAAAAGCAAAACAAAACAGTGTGCATCCATCTTATCAGAAAAATGACACTTAAAGTATATATACTCAGCTGTTTATTCTATAAGGGCTGCTAAAATAGTGAAAATATAAATGCAGAGAACAAACAACAATAAAATAGAAGAGAATAATAAAGAGAAGAAATGATTAAATTAGAAAAAGGCAAATCTTTGTAAGACTCGCTGAGGAAATGAAACGTGACAAGGAATAGAAATGTTGAACACAAGCAGGTGCTGCAGAGGATAAAGAGACATAAGCTTCAGGAACAACTTCCTTCACAAAGTTAGACAAGCAAACGCAAGCCAGAAGTGACTCAGGAACAGACAGAAAGCATGAACAGTCCCACCAATACTGTAGACAGTCGGGCAGTAATTATATCTTTCCCAAAGAAAACAGAAGGCCGAAATGTTTCGCTGATAAATTTTCAAAAAAAAAACCTCTTTCCAAACTCACAAACTCCTATAACAGAAAAAGAGGCGCAACCACAAACATCACTCGACTTCTGTTACTAGCTACTTGCTGTTCTTGTGGCTGGCAGTTCAGGGAGGAAGGGCTTGCAGTCCAGCACAAGGAAGGCATGGCGCCAGGAATGTGAGGTGTGAGGCAGCTGCCCACAGTGCATCTGCGCTCAGGGAATGGAGAACAGGAGGTGCAGCCAAGCGCTAAAACCTGAAGGCCTGGCCCTAGGGACCATTCCTTCAGCCATTCCCTAAAGGTTGCAAACCTTCCAAAACAGCATCACCAAGCTGGGAACCATGTGTTCAAACACATGAATGAGCCTATGAGGGAACATTTCACATTTAACTCACAATTCCCAAACTAGAAAAGGCCAAAAATAAATAAATAAATAAATAAATAAGTAAATAAATAATAAATATCACTCATGCATGTTAATAATGATCCAATAGTCAACAGCATAAACTGGTGCATTACGAACAAGTTAAATTAGATTAACTGCTAGAATGTACCATTCGGTTTAACTTCAGAAGAATCCCAGTATAATTAATCATACTGATTAACTAAATGTCAAAAAACAAGACTGTCTCAGAAACAAGAAATAGTTAATAAAATTCAATGCCTGCTCATGAAAAACACAGAA